TTTTTTTTTTTATATATATATATATAAAAAAATCTCTTCAACAATTTTTCCCAAAAAAATAAAAATCGTTGTATTTTTTTTTCCTTTTTTTTGTCTTTTGTCTTTTTTTTCCCCTCAGAATCTGTTAACAAGTCACTGTAAAAAAAACAAACCAAAAACAACGCACACACGCAACCCCCAACCCCACCCCAAAAAATTAAAAATTAAAAAATTAAAATCCAACGAAAAACGACGAAAAATTCGGATAAAGTGCATGGCAGAAGAATTTAGGAGGGATGTTTTTTTTTTAAGGTGCTTTTTCGTTTCTTGTTCGTTTTTTTAAGGAATGAAGTGCGCCAACCGATTTTCCTTCTCGTTTGGCCTGGCTCCCGCTGGACCTTTCCCGCTCGTACGCCCGAAATGGCGGTGGGGGGGAGGAGGGAGAGAGGGAGAGACCCCCCCCTCCTCCCCGCGTCGTATCCCGCCAAGGGCGCGCACACTCGTCTGGAACTGAAATGGGTGAGAGATCAAGGCAGCAGCGGCAGGGCCGGACGGGGTAGGTGGGTAGGTGGCTGGGTTGGGGGGGTGTCTCTCTCTCTCTCTCCCCCCACCCAACCACCGCCGCCCCACACGGCCGGATCGAGGGAGGGGCTCAGTAATCCTCCACCGTTTCCAGCTCGCTGGAGGCGCCGTGAAGAGCGTAGCCTGAAAAAGAAGGAAGGCGGGGAAAGGGGGGTCATAAACCAGGCGGCTCGGCCCGACGCGCCGCGGGACGAGCGAGGAAAAACGGCGGGATAGAATAGTTTTAAGGGAAAATTTTTTTTAAAAAGGAAGCCCCTCCCACCCACCACCCACCCCGCCAATCTGGGGACAAAATTGGAAAACGGGAAGGTCAAAAATTAAAAAAACGATTTTTAATTTATAATCTAGAATCTATAATAATATAAAAACTCATCAGTTTCATTGAAGGAATGGAGGTAGCTTCGTGTTTTTATGGCTGGGCTGCAGGCTGGTTCGCACCGGTTTGGACAAACCGGTTGTTAAAAAGATCCTTGCGGCGTTTGGCGAAGTGGCAAATCTGGCCACTGGCTGGCGTCCAAATCCCCGCCTCTTTTTCCAGATTGGGTGGTTTTTTTGGGGTGGGAGGGGCTGCCTTTTTTGGGGAGGCGGGTTGTTTATTCGAGCCGAAAACGGCCCCGAAAAAACGGGGCGGGGGGGGCTTGAGATTAGCCCTAACCGTCAGAATCCGACGACCTCTTTGTCTTTGGAGGTTAGTGGACGAAAGGCGGGGAGGCGGGGAAGAGGGATGCCGCCCGGCCAGTCACCTGACCAAACTTGGCCACGCCTACCCAGCCAGAGAACCAGCTTGCGGAAAAATAAAAATAAAATAAAAAATTTGGCCGGATGCCTTTCTTATCGCCGGGCTGGAGTTTCGTTCAGCTGTGATATAATATTCTCGGCGTGCCCAGAGAAAGAGAAAGATCCGCCGTGACCTAGACTCGAACTCGAGAGCCTCCTGACTGTGAGGCCAACCGCGCCCCTCTTTAAAATATAATCCTTTTTGAAGTCTTTTAAATAATATTATGGAACGCTTGGATTGTCCGGGGGCGAGGAGGGAAAACGCCCGTCGGAAGGGAGCGACCGCCCCTCCGTATCCCGTCGGTGACAAGAAGGCAGAGCTAAGCCGCCGGCCCCGCCCTTCTTCCCCACCCCACAAGTAGCCGTGTTCCTGGCTCCTCCTCCTCCTCCTCCTCTTCCTCGCTCACCTAGGATGCTGGGGTCTGCGTGCAGCATCACCGGGCGCCGCTTGATCTTGACGGCTTGGCTGTTCTCAAAAGATGGCGGTTTGGGGCTGTGGTTGGCCTGGAAGAGCGACTGCAGGCTGCTGGAGCTGAGCCACGAGGCCTCCTGCGGGGGTGGAACGGGGGGACAAAGCGGGAGAAGCTGCAACATGGGGCCCGGAGTCGTCTTGCGGGTGACGAAGAGCCACCTCCGCTCCAACGACGGGCTTCTCTTCCCCAAAGGAAACTCGACCGCTGACGACGTTGAGTTGCCGACGTGGACGAGGACGCGCGCACCTCCCCCTCCCTCCTCACCTGCTGCTGCTGCTGCTGCCGCTGCTGATTGGCTCTCTGCTTGGCACGGCGCTCTAGGAACTGTTTCGCAAACTCTTTGGCTTCCAGGGTGTCCCCCAGGCAGGAGCGGATGCAGTCGTGAACGTCGTACGGCGACTCCATCTCCTTCAGGAAAGCTACCACGTTGGGCACTATAGGTATTTTGGGGGAGGGGATGATGGGGAGAAAGTGGGGAGGGGTGTCATAGAAAGCAGCTGCTCTTTAGGGAGGGGGAAAGGGGGGGAGGGCAGGGCGACCCGCCCCAGGAGAGACCTCGCCCGCGCTCCCGGGGCTTTGAATGAGGGATTTCCCTCCCTCTTTCCTCTTCTCTCCCCGTTTTCCGTCCCCCACCCCTCCACAAAGGTACCGTCGACGCTGCTGGAAGCGTTGAGGGCGTGTAGCATCTGCTCGCACCACTGGGTGAAGCCGTCCTGTTGTGGCGGCTTGTGAATGCCTTGCAACAGTTTTAGCAACTTCTCTTCCTCGTCCGTCTTCTTCCGGCTCTGCCGGCTGGCGACCGCGTAGGCGTCCCTGAGGAAAGGG